AGCCTCCCGAGTAGCTGGAACTACAGGCGTGCATCACCATGTCCAGCTAATTTTTGTATTTTTAGTACAGATGATGTTTCACCATGTTGGCCAGGCTGGTCTCGAACTCCTGACCTCACGTGATGTGCCCACCTCAGCCTCCCAAAGTGCTGGATTACAGGCATGAGCCACTGCTCCAGCCACAATAACTCTTAATTATAGAAAATTATTAAAATTCAGGAAAGGGGAAATACTAGTTTGGAGAATGGTGAGTGGGATGCTTTATGGATGCCTCCTCTTTGAAGATGTGCCTTGAAAGATGAGGATTTTAGCAGTAGGATTGTGAAGAAAGAAAAGATAGAAAGGCATTTTAAAGGGGGGATGGAATCCAGATATGGAAATAAAAATATTCCACATACTTCACAGGATATTGCTGGGTACATGGAGTAAGGGTGGATATGTAGATGAAGCTGGAAATGATTTGGGATGAGATTTTGCAGATCTTGAATGTATTCTTCAGGAAATGAAAATGCAAGTTCTTGGCCAGGTGCGGTGGCTCACACCTGTAATCCCAACACTTTGGGAGGCTGAGGTGGGTGGATCACATGAGGTCAGGAGTTCAAAACCAGCCTGGCCAATATGGCGAAACCCTGTCTCTACTAAAAATACAAAAATTAGCTAGGTGTGGTGGCAGGCGCCTGTAATCCCAGCTACTTAGAAGGCTGAGACACGAGAACTGCATGAACTCTGGAGTCGGAGGTTGCAGTGAGCCGACATCACTCCACTGCACTCCAGCCTCAGGGACAGACACTCCTTTTGTCTCAAAAAAAAAAAAAAAAAAAAAAAAAGAAAGAGAAGAAAAGAAAATCCAAGTCCACATTTGTCCTTAAAAAAAAATTCCTGTAAAGCTCTTTTTGTACCACAGCACAGAGAAGTACAATGTTACATTTGAGAAACACTATTTTGTTCATTTCCTGTGAGACAAGTTTGAATGTAAAATGGGAGGAAAAGCCTTGTGTTTTAGTTCCTTCCTGATTCCCCCTCGCCACCCCCCCGAAAGGTAGGCAGGAGCTGGGGAGGAGAGGAGTTATGTATTCACTCTCCACAATTAAACACAAGTAAAAATCCACATCTATCCCCAACAGTAAAAGTCACATAACCAGCACTTTAACTATAAACACAGAAAACGTTTTATGTTGCTACAAGAGCAAATGTATAATCAAGAAAGATTCTTTGTAATATTATCTAAAACCTGAAAAGTCTATAGTTTTGGTTGGTTGCCCAGTAAATTGAAAGGACTTTTTTTTTTTAATCTTGGGTTTCGTTTTTCTTGGTCTAAAGCCCAATCTATTGCCAGTGGTGACTCAGAAGGGATGCCTGAAATAGTTCTTCTGAAGTTATCTGTCTTTGTGTCTTATCATCCAGGGATGGCCAAGACTTTCTCATGCATCTGTATATTTCACAAAAGCCTAGCACAGTGTTCCCATGTTAAATGTTTGCTGAATTACAGAAAAGCATTTCAACTCATCTGTCAAATATGTGAGACAACAAATAGCATTTGGTGATGTGTCCACGGATGTGCAGTTAGAATTGTAAGGCCAAAGTAACCCAGAAGTTTCCTTTTCCCTTTTTCTTGACCAGGAAGAACTGTCCAATGAACACTATTCACTGATGAAGGAAAAGTTCTGGTAAAAATATTTTTTCAAAATATTAAGATAAAAGTAAAAGCACTTATTTTCAGAAAGTGATTATCATTAGCTAGAAAAACCGAATCACAAGGTTAGGCATGGTGGCTCACACCTGTAATCCCAGCACTCTGGGAGGCCGAGGCAGGCGGATCACAAGGTCAAGAGTCGAGACCAGCCTGGCCAACATGGTGAAACCCTGTCTCTCCTAAAAATACAAAAATTAGCCAGGCGTGGTGGCAGACACCTGTAGTCTCAGCTACTTGGGAGGCTGAGGCAGGAGAATCGCTTGAACCCGGGAGGCAGCGGTTGCAGTGAGCCAAGATCGTGCCATTGCACTCCAGCCTAGGCAACAAGAGTGAAACTCCGTCTCAAATAAATAAATAAGTAAATAAACAAAACGATGTGTTTCCTTATGGTTCTGGAGGCTGGAAAGTCTTTGATAAAGACACCGGAAGATGTGGTGTGGTGTCTATGGAGGGCCTGCCTTCTGGTTGGTGAGCAGCACCTCTCTGTGTCCTCACGTGGTGGAAGGGGAAAGGCAGCCCTCTGGGGCCTCTTTCATAAGCACTAATTCCATTCATGAGGTCTCCCCTCTTATGACTTAATAACCTCACCATGTGTCCAGAATTGGTGGGTTCTTGGTCTTGCTGACTTCAAGAAGGAAGTCACAGACCCTCGCGGTGAGTGTTACAATTCTTAAAGATGGTGTGTCCAGAGTTTGTAGCCTCAGATGTTCAGATGTGTCTGCAGCTTCTTCCTTCTGGTGGGTTTGTGGTCTCGCTGACAAGAGTGAAGCTGCAGACCTTCGTGGTGAGTGTTACAGCTTCTAAAGGTGGCGCCTCTGGAGTTGTTCATTCCTCCTGGTGGGTGGGTTCATGGCCTCACTGGCTTCAAAAGTGAAGCTGCAGACCTTCGTGGTGAGTGTTACAGCTCATAAACGCCACGTGGACCCAAAGAGTGAGGAGCAACAAGATTTATCGCAAAGAGCAAAAGACCTAAGGCTCCCCTAGCGTGGAATGGGACCCTAGCCGGTTGCCACTGCTGGCCTGCTTTTATTCCCTTATCTGACCCCTCCCACATCCTGCTGATTGGTCTATTTTATAGAGAGTTGATTGGTCCATTTTGACAGAGTGCTGATTGGTGTGTTTACAATCCCTTAGCTAGACTTGAAGGTTCTCCAAGTCCCTACTAGACTCAGGAGGTCAGCTGGCTTCTCCTGGTGTATCCTGCACCCGGGCTGCAGGCCAAGCTGCCCACCAGTCCCGCGCAGTGCATCCACACTCCTCAGCCCTTGGGCGGTTGATGGGACCGAGCACTGCAGAGTGGAGGATGGCACTCGTAGGGGAGGCTCTCCGACCTCGCAGGAGCCCACGGCAGAGCGGGCGGCTCAGACATTGCGGGCTGCAGGTCCGGAGCCCTGTCCCGCGGGGAGGCAGCTGAGGCCCCGCAAGAATTCAAGAGTGGTGCATGCGGGCCGGCAGTGCTGGGGGACCTAGCACAACCTCCGCAGCTGCTGGTTTGGGTGCTAAGCCCCTCACTGCCCGGGCCGGCAGCGCCATCTGGCGGCTCCGAGTGCGGGGCACGCCAAGCCAGGCCCGCACCCTCCGGAACTCGCGCTGGCCTGTGAGCACCCAGCTCGGCCCGGTTCCCGCCCACGCCTCTCCCTCCGCACCTTCCCAGCAAGCAGAGGGAGTCGGCTCCGGCTCCTGCCTTGGCCAGCCCAGAGAGGGGCTTCCACAGTGCAGTGTCGGGCTGAAGGGCTCCTCAAGCACCACCAGAGTGGATGCTGAGGCCGAGGAGTCACCGAGAGTGAGGGCTGCTAGCATGTTGTCACCTCTCACGAATGGGCCCACCTGCTAATACCATCCCTCACCTTGAGGATTAGATTTTTAATATATGAATTTTAGGGGACACAAATATTTTGATCATAGAGAGAAGGTAAATTGGTACTGCTCTAAACTAAGGAAACAGAGAGGACTCTGGGAAATGCTCCTCCTTCCCTGGGGCTCCTAAGCTTTTCAAATATTTTCATCATTGCCATATATCTCCCCTTAACCACTCTACAGCCCTGGATTAGACCGTAGCATAAGCCATGATTTTCAGTTTGCTTATAATCTGGTGTAGAGTTTCATTCATTCATTCAACATACATGCAGCGCCTACAATGTGCCATAAATATATGCCAGAAAGGCAGAATATTTGCCAAACAAATGGTGCAGCTACTGTATGCAGTGAAATTTGGGAAGCTGTCTCTGGGGGTCGCATAGCTTGGGAAGGCTTTATCAAAGAACTGGTGATTTGAAGTCGGACTTGTAAAATAGATGGGATTTAAACTGAAGAAGGAGGAGGTAATGCTGGAGGTACAGAGGTGTGAGTAGAGGACATGAGGGAATTCAAACTGGAAAGGAGGGTTCCAGGCCGAGCGTGGTGGCTCAGGCCTGTAATCCCAGCACTTTGGGAGGCCAAGGTGGGCAGATCACTTGAGGTCAGGAGTTCGAGACCAGCCTCGCCAACATGGTGCAACACTGTCTCTACTAAAAATGCAAAAATGGGCCGGGCGCGGTGGCTCACGCCTGTAATCCCAGCACTTTGGGAGGCCGAGATGGGCGAATCACAAGGTCAGGAGATCGAGACCATCCTGGCTAACATGGTGAAAACCCGTCTCTACTAAAAAATACAAAAAACTAGCCAGGTGAGGTGGCGGGCGCCTGTAGTCCCAGCTACTCGGGAGGCTGAGGCGGGAGAATGGCGTAAACCCGGGAGGTGGAGCTTGCGGTGAGCTGAGATCTGGCCACTGCACTCCAGCCTGGACGACAGAGCCAGACTCCGTCTCAAAAAAAAAAAAAAAAAAAAAAAAATTAGCCAGGCATAGTTGCAGGTGCCTGTAATCCCAGCTACTCGGGAGGCTGAGGCAGGAGAATCACTTGAACTGGGGAGGTGGAGGTTGCAGTGAGCCGAGATCATGCCACTGCACTCCAGTCTGGGTGACAGAGCAAGATTCCGCCTCAAACAAACGAACAACAACAACAAAACAAATTTATACTTTAAAAGGGGGAATGCTGCTATGTAAATTCTATCTCAATGTTTTTTAAAAAATTAGACTATTTATTTATGATCCCTGCATGGAATTAAACCAAATGATAAAAAATTTTCTTAAAATCAAGGTAGGAGTCACTTTTTAATCAAAGATTGCATTCTTTTTTTTCTTTTTTAACTTTTAGGTTCAGGGGCACATTGTTCAGTTTTGTTATATAGGTAAACTCATGTCACGAGAATTTGGTGTCCAGAACATTTCATTACCCAGGTACCAAGCGTGGTACCTGATAGGTATTTTTAAAATATGAAATGCTTCATGAAATTGCATGTCATCCTTATGCAGGGGACATGCTAATCTTCTCTGCATCATTCCAATTTTAGTATATGTGCCGCTGAAACTAGCACCAAAAGTTATATTCTACAGTGTATGTCAAATGAAAATTGCATCTGATCTATGAATATTACTCTGGAAAAATCCCTTGAATTGTCCAGGGTATAGTAATAGTCAGGATTAATATATTCTTTACCATCTCTTCATAAATGCGGTGCAGCCAGTTTTTCCTCCAGCGTTGGAGTCCGTCACTGTTGCTGTGGATCGGCCACAAATGAAGTCATTGGTTTGCATTTCAGGCCTCCCTTGTATTGAAAATACAGTTTGTGTGAACATAGTTGACTTGTCAGAAATTAAAGACATAGATGATGCAATTTCCCTGAATTATTTTTTTTGAGACTGAGTCTTGCTCTGTTGCCCAGGCTGGACTGCAGTGGTACAATCTCCGCTCACTGCAACCTCTGCCTCCTGGGCTCAAGTGATTCTCCTGCCTCAGCTTCTTGAGTAGCTGGGACTACAGGCATGCGCCACCACGTCTGGCAAATTTTTATTTTTATTTTTAGGTTTATCCATGTTGGTCAGGCTGGTCTCCAACTCCTGACCTCAAATGATCCACCCGCCTTAGCCTCCCAAAGTGCTGGGATTACAGGCGTGAACCATTGCACTCAGCCTTGAACTCTTAAATTCTATTTACTTCATACTATTTTATGTAATTCCTTTCCTCACTTGTATTTATCTTTTTTTTTTTTTTTTTTGAGACGGAGTCTGGCTCTGTCCCCCAGGCTGGAGTGCAGTGGTGCCATCTGGGCTCACTGCAAGCTCCGCCTCCCAGGCTTACACCATTCTCCTGCCTCAGCCTCCTGAGTAGTTGGGACTACAGGCACCCGCCACCATGCTGGGCGAATTTTTTTGTATTTTTAGTAGAGACGGGCTTTAACCATGTTAGCCAGGATAGTCTTGATCTCCTGACCTCGTGATCTGCCCATCTCGGCCTCCCAAAGTGCTGGGATTACAGGCGTGAGTCACTGCACCTGGCCTGTATTTATCTTATGATTAAGTTCTTCTATGTAGTCCTCGTGAACCTTAACATTCTTTCTGTATATAGTACATTCTCCTGAAAAAAACATAGTCTTCCCCAAGTAGATATGTTTTATATTTTTATTTTTTAAATCTTTTTCTATTTTTAAAACACAGTTGAGATCATTCTGTACATACAATTTAATAGTATCTTGCTTTTTAGGTTTTTTTTTTTGTTAAGGTTTCTTACATGTTCTTAAACACCATATCTTTCATCAAGTGAAGATATTTAGCCATACGAATGGTTACACATTTTTATTTTTTTTAGTGTTCTGATATTATAAATAATGTTGCAATGGACATATATGAACATAAATCTTAGTCCTCTGATTGTACTTTTCCATATTTTAAAATCTGTATTTATTTATTTTGAGATAGGATCTCATTCTGTCACTCCAGCTGGAACACGATGGCACAGCTCACTGCAGCCTTAACATCCCCGGGCTAAGCAATTCTCCCACCTCAGCCTCCCAAAGTCTCAAAGTACTGGGACTACAGCTGTGAGTCACATGCCAGCCTGACTGTACTTTTGGGTTTTTTTGTTTTGTTTTGTTTTGAGACAGAGTTTTGCTCTTGTTGCCCGGGCAGGAGTGCAGTGGCGTGATCTTGGTTCACTGCAACCTCGGCCTCCTGGGTTCAAGCAATTCTTCTGTCTCAGCCTCCCGAGTAACTGGGATTACAGGTGGCCGCCACCAAGCCCAGCTAATTTTTGTATTTTTAGTAGAGATGGGGTTTCACCATGTTGGCCAGGCATGTCTCGAACTCTTGACCTCCGGTGATTTGCGCACCTCAGCCTCCCAAAGTGCTGGGATTACAGGCGTGAACCACCCCGCCCGGCCTGCTTGATTGTACTTTTTTTTTTTTTTTTTTTTGAGACAAAGTTTCACTCTTGTTTCCCAGGCTGAAGTGCAATGGTGTGATCTCGGCTCACCACAACCTCTGCTCCCAGGCTCAAGTGATTCTTCTGCCTCAGCCTCCCAAGTAGCTGGGACTAAGGCGCCCGCCACCACGGCCGGCTAATTTTTGTATTTTTAGTAAAGACGGGGCTCCTCCATGTTGGTCAGGGTGGTCTCGAACTCCTGACCTCAGGTGATCCACCCGCCTCGGCCTACCAAAATGTTGGGATTATAGGCATGAGCGACCGCGTCGGCCAACTGTACTTTTAAGTGTGGTTTATATGCTCACTATAATAGAATAGTTTTTATGTGAAGAAATGGGTCTATGTGGGAAACTGATAGCTCTTAGTCATTAAGTGGAAAATAAATTGTGTTTTTTTGTTGGTTTTTTGTTTTGTTTTGTTTTGTTTTGAGATGGAGTCTGGCTCTGCCACCCAGGCTGGAGTGCAGTGGCGCGATCTCAGTTCACTGCAACCTCCGCCTTCCAGGTTCAAGCGATTCTCCTGCCTCAGTCTCCCGAGTAGCTGGGATTACAGGCATGTGCCACCACGCCTGGCTGATTTTTGTATTTTCAGTAGAGATGGGGTTTCACCATGTTAACCATGTTAGGCTGGTCTCGAACTCCTGACCTCAAGTGATTCACCTGCCTCGGCCTCCCAAAGTGATAGGATTATAGGCATGAGCCACTGCACCCGGCCAATAAATGCTTTTTGAGGATTGCCTTGGGATAGTGAGATTTTAAAGGGTTCAAATGCTAGGAGAAATGACATTTGAGGGGTGTTCAGTTTTTTATCTTTTTATCTCTTCATCAATTTTCAACTTTTGTCTTTGTTCATGCCTCTCATCTCTGAACATTATATCTACATTTTTTTTTTTTTGAGACAGAGTCTTGCTCTGTTGCCCAGTCTGGAGTGCAGTGGCACGATCTCGGTTCACTGCAACCTCTGCCTACTGGATTCAAGCAATTCTCCTGTCACAGGCTCCCGAGTAGCTGGGACTACAGGCGCATGCCACCACGCCTGGCTAATTTTTTGTATTTTTAGTAGAGATGGGGTTTTACTGTGTTAGCCAGGATAGTCTCGATCTACTGACCTCATGATCTGCCCGCTTCAGCCTCCCAAAGTGCTGGGATTACAGGCGTGAGCCACCACACCCAGGCAATCTACTCAGGATTTTTTATAGGATTCTTAAATAAGAACCTGTAAGTGCCAAATCTCAAAATTTCCCCCATTTCTCACAACAGCAGTTGTCCTGGCCTCACCCAATCCTTTTGATTTCTTTTTTTTTAAAAGCCAAAAATCAAACAAAAGTGTTGGGATTTAAAACCAGATTTAATATATCTGCTAAGTATTAAAGGTGCTACCAGTAGGTACAATACTACTAGGTACTAAGTCAATAATTCCATTCATAGTTTTTTTTTTTTTTTTTTTTTTTTTGCCAAGTTCTGTTGGTCTCCTCTTTAGTGTATCCTAGACCATTCCTACCAACATTACATGCCAGTCTTCCTTGATGCAAGTTTTCCTTTTACAGTCATGATCTTTCTTTCTTTTTACAGATGGGGTCTTGCTATGTTGTCCTGGTCTCAAACTCCTGGCTTCAAAATAGGAAGATCTGTTTCTCTTGTGTTCTCTTTGGATGGCTGCTGGACCACTGTTTCTGTGCACAAACAAAGGGGCAGAGCTGAGGAACAGTCATTCCTCCTCGCTGTCCATTATCTGTTGCCAACATGGTTATTTTCATCTTTTTGCCACAAGCTCATTGCTCACAGCATTTTCCCTCTCGTGTACCTGCTGCCTCCTGATTCTCACACATATGAGTGCGACCCTGGACAGGTCGTTCTGTTCAGAGCTGAAGCAATATGAAGAGACTTCATAGCTTTTTATCTACTTAGTTAGATCTTTTGACTTATCTGCATAACTTTTGTAAAGTTACAAAACTTAAGTAGAGTTTTGGCCCACAATAAATAACCACCTTAGAAACTCTAATCGAGGTAAGTAGACCAATTTCCTAAGTGCTCTCTAATTATGTTTTTAAATTTATTGTCAAACCAACTATGACTATAAATTGAAGTGCTGTGGTTAGAGGGTACATTTCTGGTCAAATGAATCACAAACTCATGTTAGCTGGTCAAGGAATAATACGCTATTTTCAGTTTTTATAGTAGTAGGAAGCAATAAATGACAAGGACTCACATGCAATAAAGCTGTTATCAGTCTGAGAAAAATCTCATATATTAGTAGTTATGTTATAGCTATACCAACCTAATAAATTCAGATGTCTTTTGCATATTAGATTACTTTCCCACCACAAGCATGCTACAAATAATGTTTGTCTTTCTGAACACAAACATCTGTCACAGTCATTCCTACCATTCTTGCATGAATCACACTGGTTCATCTGCCATGACTTAGAAGATGATGGCCAATGGTCAACACAAGCCAAAGTGATAAATGTGCAGTTAGCTCATGTGAAAGCCCACGTAGACTCATTTCTGGAACAACGGGAGGAAGATTTATGGTAGTAAGGCAGTGGCATGTGTGAGAATTTTCATAATGGTGGAGCTGAGACATGGAGGAATTGGGGTGAGAGGTTAGACCCATCAAGTTTAGAGAGAACTGCTGAATCAAGCTCATGGCAGCAAGCCAGGTGCAGTAGCTCGCGCCTGTAATCCCAGCTTCTTGGGAAGCTGAGGCAGGAGGATTTCTTGAAGCCAGGAGTTTGTGATCAGCCTGGGTAACACAGCAAGACCCCGTCTCTAAAAAAAAAAGTTAAGAAAAAAAAGAGGCCAGGCGCGGTGTCTGACGCCTGTGATCCCAGCACTTTAGGAGGTTGAGGTGGGTGGATCACCTGAGGTCAGGAGATCAAGACCATCCTGGCTAACACAGTGAAACCGCATCTCTACTAAAAATACAGAAAAAAAAAAAAAAAAACAGCTGGGCGTGGTGGCATGCGCCTGTAGTCCCAGCTACTTCGGAGGCTGAGGCAGGAGAATCCCTTGAACCCAGGAGGTGGAGGTTGCAGTGAGCCAAGATCTCGCCATTGCACTCCAGCCTGGGCAACAAGAGTGAAACTCCATCTCAAATAAAAAGATAAAAAAGAAA